ATTCTTTAGCTTCATAATAAAGTATGCTACTTTTGGTCTGTCTGTGGCACTTGTTCTTCTGTTCGGTTCTTTTTTGGGAGAATGTGGAATATCTTCACAGACAACCTTGTATTTAACTTCAGTACTACATTTGGTACGTTGTCAGGTAGTGTTGCTTTCCCAATGTTGATTTATCTAATGACCAGACTGATTTTTTCTTCCGCTTGTGGAATGAATTCTAAAGGAATGTTCGTAGTACTGCCTCAACGTCTGGTGAGTTCAGTGACTCTGGTGTATTCAGGAGTTCGCCGAACTGGTCTACCCACCTGTCCTACTGCTCTTGAATCTCAGTGATTGAATTGCTTTCTTTGTCCTTGATCAGTCTTACTGGCTTACTATATTGCCCTGTTACTTCCTTCGTCGTGTCATATATTTGTTTCATATTTCCTAACCTTGCATCTTTTTCCGCTGTCATTACTAGGTTATCAACGTATTTCCTTGCATGTTGGAATTAGTGCTTCTTTGATACTTTCCCACTTGACTCCATAGTGGTTTCCTTCTCTCTGGTCAGACATTGTAAGATTTGGGACCTGTTGTTGAGATATATCTTGGATTCGTTGTGTTTTTCAGATTTTTGAATGAAGGCTTATTAAACATTCACAATGCACCTTCCCCAGCTGTCCATTGTTTCTTTAGCTTCCCTTTCATCTTTACAACCACCAGATAGTGATATGAAACAGCGTCAGCTCCTCTCTTGGTTGTCACGTCTTCCATTGTCATTCTGAATTTTTTATTGAGACACATATGATCTATCTGGTTCTCTGTGGTGTGACCTGGTGAGACCCGTGTAGCTTCTTGCATGTGTTTGTGATGGAATGTGGTAACACTTATAACCATATCGTTGAATGCAAATCAGTCTACAGATCTATTACCATACTCGTTCCCTTCTCCCAGTCAGTCTATTTCGTCCTAAAATATCATCAGATCCATTGTTATCCATTTCGACGTATACGTTTATATTTCGCATCAGGACCGCCACGAAAAGGTAGTGAGTAGGACTTCCCTAGCAGAGACTATATACGCGTGGCTATGTGAGAGCATTTCGAGAGGGAGAGGGAACTCTCCCCACTCTCGGCCGTACCAGGGCATTTAGGGGCAGAAATATAGGTGAATCTATTTAGTTCAGTTTCTGAATAAACACAATCTGAATGCGATGGATTTTAAAGCAATACTGAACTGAAGGCTAATTACAAACTGACTTCTAACTTAGCTACACCACAGAGACTCTATCGTCATTTTATTTCATCGTTCTCAGAATTTTCTCTCTCTTATTTTAATTTCGTCACGTTACTCAGACTCATAATTACACATCTGACTGACTGATTGCAACTTATGTTATTCTTACTTAATTTTAACTTCAGTTTCAACTTCTTCATCATATAATCAATTGTATATTTCAACTTTATTATCTCTTGTTTCTATGTCAGATGGTGCAGAATCTTCTCTTACATATTATTTTTATTTAGGACACTTTTTATATGTCTTCATCCACCATGATGACACATATTCATTTTTACTTTTATGAGTACGTACACATCACGAGAACTGTGATTTTAAAATTATATAGCTTGTGAGCACCTGATGAAAATGGACTTCGCAAATGACCTGGCCCTTCTATTCCATACACATCATCAAATACAGATGAAGATAAACAGTGTAGCAGCAGTTTCTGCAGCAGTAGGCCTCAACATACACAAGAGAAAAAGCAAAATCCTCAAATACGATACGGAAAACACCAACACAGTAACATATGACGGAAAAACTCTGAAGGAGATGAAAATGCTCACTTGCCTTATCAGGAATGTGGAAGAACTTATTTGGACGTAAAGGAGAAGATCAGCAAAGGTGAGACAACATTTCTACATTTGAACAATATATGGAACTCAAAACAAATGTATGCAAGCTAACATCAAAGTCACAATCTTCAACACCAACGTCAAGACAGTTCTACTACATGCAAATGAAACTTCGAGAACTAGCACAATCATCATCAATTTAGTACAAGTATTTATAAACAAATATCTACGTAAGATACTTAATGTCCATTGACCGGATATGATCAACACCAGCCTACTAAGGCAGAGAACAAATCATTTTCCAGTTGGGAAGGAAATTAGGAAAAGACGTTGGAAGTGGATAGGAAATACATTACGGAAATCATCAAACCACATCAAGAGGAATGTGCTAACTTGGAATCATGAAGTGAAACGGAGAAGAGGAATACCGAAGAGCACATACTGCATCGGGAATTGGAAGCAGACATGAGAAGAATGAATGCCAACTGGAAGGGTTTGCCCAGGACAGAATTGGATGAGAATGCTAGTGAGAGACCTATGCTCCTCCATGAGAGGTAACAGACGTAAGTAATTAAGAGCAGCTGATGATAAACTAACAAAATAAAATGAATTCATATTATTCTGGTCAATTCTTTGTTCTCTCTCTCTTCAAGATAATAAATGAAACTAAATTCATGAAATAGATACTGAGAAAAATCCTAATATTTAACTTTTAAAAATAATTTCATCTGATATAAGACTATGATTTACTTAAATTTGAGTAAACTTATCATTTTATTGTTTTAAAAAAAATCTGTTTTCAAAATTAATGAGTCTTTCTCTAGATAAATTGTATACTACTTAATCCATACATTTTTGATTGGTATTATTTCAGTCAAAAAGCCAATGAAACCACCTTTTTAATACACATTATCATGTGCAGTTAAATAAGGACCAATGAATTTTTTCCGAATCTAAAAGATGTACTTTTTTCTTTCTTATCTTTAAACTGCTGAATGTTATCATCATGAAATAATAAACTGGAAAGGGTCGATGAGTTTTGGCAACACGATTTAATTTAAGCTAAAACAACCTGAAGATGAAATTTATAAAGATAAATTTCAGAGAAAATGAACATGCATTGAACATAGTTACTAAGAAAATACTCTCATTAACTCATTTACTTACTGTTATTAACCTTGGTTGATCAAAGACCACTGACTAGCCGTTCTAAGATTACTATTAGTCCCAAACGCGAATACGATAGAAGGGTCGGACATAGAGTTAGCAACCAAGCTCATAGAAGAGAATCTTGCTAAAAAACCTAGCCAGAAAAAATCAATTTAACCATTTTCACGTAGAATACACAAGTATTTTTTGATATGCTTTTTACATAAGTTTATTGTAACTGATTTTCACCATATAAAGATGTTCAGTGCAAATTTCTAACAGCCTTATGATTCGATTACCAAAATTGAAGGACTACTTTCGTAACAAAGTTTGAATATAATAACCTGTCAAATGACTTTCGTTGCTATAAAAGGAACCTAAATATGACTGTACTCCAAGACTTTTCACGATCTCGCACTCGGGATAACGACACAGGAATTCCGGTCTCTCATATGGACGCCCAACCCTTAGACCACTGAGCCGGCATCCGACGGTGTTAGTGTCTAACCTCAAACAATCCACGAAATTGCACAACCACCTTCCATTGTACTGGAGCATATACCTGTCTCTACCTGATATGGATTAGCTCCACTGATCACGGCTTCTCACTAGAACTCACGAAGCTAGTCATCGATAAGCACATGAGTCGCGCGAGATCGAAGGCCCCGGGTTTGGATCCCGCATACGGGATCGTGAATGCCCGTATCTGAAGAGTCCCGTACTAGAACAAAACCGCCGTCAAGTGCCTCCAGGTTTTCCATGATGGCCTAACCTCAACCAATTCATAGTCTAAATCAAAAACTTAACTATATCCACAACCTCATACGAATAAAAATTATTCAGTTAAACATGAAAATTTATCTCTTACCAAGAAGTTCTAATTTTCCAGGGCTTGGAATACAATCAAAGTTATAGATGTCTGCCTGCAGCCAGATCTTTTAACCCGATATTAGGATTCAACCTAGTCTACAGAGAGATCTTGTTGAAGCATGTGTCTTTGACTGATACTCGAAACAAACCCAGTGACCTGTAGACGGATGAGCACACAAAATCTGTTCATTAGAGTTTAAACTGAAAGTTCACATAGGCAAAAAATATCATATATAACTAAGAATTTTCTTATTGACCGAGTATACCTTCCATCAAGGCCCAAAAAGTTGTTTAAATATAGTCGTCTTCAAGCCTCATCAACATTACACAAATGTTTATCATGGGTTTCCTTCTCTCGAAATTGTCTAGGATTTGTTTGGAACATTCAGTTGTTTAAATATAAGGAGTAGTATAGTTTGATTTATTTGGTTTTTACCTATCTTGGAAGTACTTCGCACCTTAGTAGGTTGATATTTGAAGAAACATTCTCGTAAGCATAGAAAACTCACCGTTCAGCTAAAATCCTTATCTGTTTGTATCGTCAAACATTCAAAGAAATGGCTTCTATGTCTTACTCGCTAGGTAAAATACTTAAAAATTAGTGATGATCAAAGTAGAAAATAAATGACTTCCATTATAAAGTGAATTATTTTAACTTAAAACATGAAAACAGACAAAACATACGTTCCAAGTTTTTGAACGATAGTTACTTTTGAAAAGACTTTACTGGATAAGAAACATAAATAATAACTTGCACTTTAAATTAGTCGACTTGTAACTAAGTCGTAAGTCGTGACAGTAGAAAAAATTACAAACTCGACAATTATAAAGAATTTATTTTTCTATTAAACCCCCCGCTGTTTTTGTTACAATGTATGCTCTTATGTAAATCAGATCGTTTCTATTATATATAACTCAATTAGACAAGTTGACATTACGCATTCTTTCATGATACATGTGTATTAGTGCGTTAATTTTCAAGATTTGTTAACTATATCTTTGTCCTATACATAAAAATAATTTTTCAAATGATTTATATATTAGTTCTATGATCCGGAACAAGATGAATTGATATTTTCGCTACAAAATTCCTATTCTTCATTACTCTCTAATAAACTTCTTTTTTTCAATTTTCAATCTTTATAGATGGCCACTGGTAAAATAGAACTTCCAGTTAACAATCAAAAAAAGAAGAAATTTTGGAAAGAAGCATTATGCACATTGAAGGGAAAAGTAGGTTCAAATATTATACGTGAAACATTTAATCTCTGAAATCTACCATTTTTACTTTCAGCAAATAATGACTGTCAGTACTTCATATTTGTAATGGTTGTTTGAATCCTTCGATTGACATTTAGGACTTCAATTGATCATTCTCTTATTGGTATATAGGCATCCTATGCAGATTGCTTCGATATCACCTCATTTCACAAGCATTATTAGCAGATATGGATGGTGACTAACAGTGGAATGCAGGACGTGCGTCTCATCCCATTTGGTACTTATCAGCTTGATGTTCTTGCGTCAATGGGAAGACCCAAATAACCAATACGAGATCGAGGTGAAATTTTCCCCAATACACAAACTAGTGTCTATCTGGACTCAGTATCTAAGTGGATAATACGATGGTGTTTGGAGCGAACGATAGTGAGTTCGAGCTCCGAAGTGGACAGTAACTCTGGGATGCAGATACATGCAGACGACGAGTCCTAAATAGAACGAAATACGCATCCAGGTTTCCACTGCTATCCACCATCCATCTCTGCTTACTATATTCTGGTTTTATGTTTTGTTTAGTCTCGAATTTTGAAAGTGTATCAAAGTAATCTCTTTGCATTTATTGTCATAAATTAATAATATCTTCAAGTTGATTCACTCACTTCATTTCTATAGAACCTCTTTTAAATATTCGTAAATTATTCATCATTCATTATTTTTGCGTACATATTTGAATTATTAAATTAATTCATTATGAAACTGAAATAAGGTTCAGTTTTACTATCATCACACTACATTATAAAAAATAAACTTGTCGTCATAAATCTCTCAACAAAACATATTAATTTAAACATGAATAGAGGTTATTATTAGTATCTAAGATACGTTTTTTAATTTTATTTGTTACTCATCATTTGGATCCACCTACATCCCATTGTTGATAATTGCTTTGAAACTTGAACCTTATACCTTACGCTTCGAACACCCAACAGGTGATTCACTTATCTTGATCCAGGTATCAACTAGATTATATAACAAATTGAAGTCCTGGTATAAAAAACGACGCTAGTATGGAAGTACGTTTATTCAACTAGTCCCGACTAGGACGAAACGTGAGTCTTGAATCTCACTACTATTCACTATGTTTATTTAAAAATTTGTGGTGTAACAGCAATATCAAAGTAATCTGTTCAGAATACATATTTGCCATCAAATAAATAATTACAGTCTCATTTTAATCAATTAAATCATGGTTACACAAGTAAACTATTAATTTATTGAAATGAAATAAAGATGATACTTGTAATCTAATCATTTATTTTCTCTATAACAGTAAAAGATGGTTATCATTGAATAGATTTCATCTTTTTGATTAAGATTTGTACCTTTTCGTAAGATAACTTTTGTTATTGTTTACATTCATTATCTAAACTATATTTTGTAATTACATTAACACCAATTACTTTAAGATGATATTCTAATTAGTAACTTTTATGAAATTAGTTTATTATCATATTTGAGTTTATGAGGTCAAATAAATGAACTAATTACTAAGACGAATATTTGACTGATATTCGGGGCAAAGTATAACATTATATAAATCAAAGTATCAGGTGTAAATGAACTTTCTTCAAACATGAAAATGAAAATAAATCTGTTATATGGAACATAATTCATGATATTTCATGATTATTTGTTAAGTTTGTTCGTATGTATAAGTAAACAGTTGTTGTCTGAATTGATTCATCCCCTTCTGCAATGTGTAATATATGTATGGGCACTACATATAAGAGTATTATTTCTACTGGGGATTCGATTTCAATCATCTGAAGCTATCTTACACTTGGTTTCTATCAACATGCCAAGTCAAAAAGAAAATAATCTGAAAGTAAGAATTTGAACTGAAATCCTCAGTGAAAATTACGTTCTAATATTCAACAGTCACCTACTAGATGAACAAAAATAAAATCCCTAAAAATGTTTGGTTCTGCACACATAAAATATGTTCGTTATAAAATCATACTATTTCATTATCTTTCTTATGTCAACTTTCTCCTCATTAAAATCTATAAAACATACATATAGTGTGAAAAATAATTTGCAATTCATTATATTACTTCATTTCATAAATTAAATCAGACATTTTATTGAATCTCATCAAGACCTTATTCAAGCTAATTCTTCATTACATTATTTCAAGATATTTCCTATTTATATTTTGTTGAGTTCGTAACAGTAAAAAGAAGTTGGAAAATAAGCAGTAAACTCAAAGTTCATTAATAAAATCACAGTTTCAAATGATTTTGAAAGAAATTTCAATGGTTAAGATCATGAGTCAGTTGAAGCTAGACCACCATGGAAAACCTGGAAGCACTGGACGGCCTTTTCGTCCCATTGTGGGACTCCTCGGTAGTGCGCATCCACGACCTCGCAGGGGGCGAGGTCTCCACAAAACCCATTTGATTTTGAAAGATTCAATTATCTTAAGAACTTTCATCGAATAATTACACAGTATTTAGGCGCCGAGTACATATGAGACATTAAAGAGGAAGAATGTATTTGTAAAGTTTCATTGAATGAATTTAAAGTAAAACCAACATTTCACCTGATAATTCCTTAAACAAAATATAATCAAACATCAAAATTATCAAATATAATTAGGTACATGTTTCTCCTTGAAAAAGCTTAGACCAGATTACCAGTCGATACGTTGAATTTACTTCGAATTCATTCGCTGACATTTTACAAATACATTCTTCCTCTTTAATCTTAAAGATGATTTGTAAAACAGCATACTTATACAAATTAAATAAAAATTTACCCAGAAAATGTATAAAAATCTGATAGAAACTCTTATTAGTACATTATTGTAACACTACTGATTCATTTTACTTAAACAAAAATATATAGGATATTTTTACAGCTTAACAACTAAAAGGCAAATATTGTGGAAACAGTTATCATGAATATTTCATGAATCTTCAAAAGTATAGATCTTTTTAATTTTTACGAGGACAATCATTGAATTGATTCCACAAGTTTGTTCACGAAATGATTACTGTAGGACACGGAATAGCATATTATTCTTTATTCCTGATTTCTGTCATTTGAATAATATGAATCTATGCAAACATGTAATGCAAACATCATGAACAGTTAAAGTATTTGTTTGAGAATGTTTTATAACGACTATAATCATTACGATACTTAAATATACAGATAATAATAATCTGTTATCATTAGATGGGAAATTCAATAGTGTGGAAATATACTTTTTTGATTGAGATCATGAATCGATTGATGTTAGATCATCATTGAAAATCTGGAAGCACTGGATGGTTGTTTCATTCTATTATGGGATTCCACATCAATGAGCATCCACGATCTCACCGTCAGGATTCGAACCCAAGACCTTCGGTCTCGCATGTTGAAATATACATTTAAACAAAAATCGATAGCGATATCTATAGTTTACCAAAATAATGTTTAGAGTAAAATGAAAATTGTATAAACTGTAAACATTTAATCATAGTAACCCTTCTATAGAAGAAATAAGAACGTTTGTTCGGAGACAATTTTGATTTTCAATTCTTTCATTTGAATAATTTATACAATCATATTTATCAATAATTTATCTACTTAGAATTATAATTTATAGGTAGATAGAAGGGTATTGCGTCATTAGGAAACAAAAAATAAACAAACGATAATCAAAGTGTCAAATATCGAATACTACGGTACGTGATTAAATAAAGAGATTTTGTGTAACAGTAAAGCTTGAACTGGTATTGTATGATGAATAGTTTGTTAGAAATAAAATAGTTCAAGACAATTATATACTTAGTTATTCATTGGCTTATGGAAAATGATAAGATCTAAATAGCTCTTGAGTCTACAAGACTGGACAAACTGTTTTTTTATATAAAGATTAGACTTGAATTAGTGTACAGTTAAATCATCTGCTGAATACAAGTTTTCAATTTATCTTCTAAGTATATGAATTTTTTTGAAAGAGAATCCGTGTGAAGCATCATGATTAAAACTAATGAGGTGTTCTAGGATCAGATTTTTAACAGACTTTTGGATTTCTTTAATTAACCAGGCAAGGTGTTATTCGAAGATAGGTTTCAAATAGCTTTGTTCGTACAACCAATATAACCGGCTCCGAAAAATCACGTAAACTGATAGATATTGACGTATACTTTTCTTTTGGTCACTTAATAAAATAAATATAATTCAGTTTTCGTATAGTCGGTCTTTTGATAAAAATATATAAGCCGAGAACAACCTATACAAACATTATATAAATATGTCCTTTATTAAATAAAAATATGCAACAACAAAATAATGTGCAAGTGAAGTTGAAGACTAATCAATAAATGCACTTCATTTAAAACTGTTTCTATCTTTCATTAATCTGTTATTTGGCATATTAAACTAATACATGATCATATATATATATAGTGTTTCTCTGGTTGTTGATTTCTGAAGAATTTCAGCTTTCACCATAGTTTTTTGAATGAAGATCCTTCAACTTCCTAGGAAGAATTTAAGTGGCTTGATCTATTTATTCTGGATAGTATACTTTTAGCAAGGATGTTTTCTATGAGATGGGGTTGTTAACCCCATGCTTAACCCTCCGGCTCTACCTGGGCTTGAAACCAGCGGTAACTCCGGAAGAGCTACAGCTCACAGTGGGAAAGAACAAACCAGCTTCCAGCTGAAAAGGAAATTAATAAAAGATGATGGATTGGTCGTATATTTAGGAAACCATCAAACTGCATCACGAGGTTAGCGCTAGAATAAAAATTCGATGAGTTACGTAATAACTAAACAGGCTTTGAACAGTTTACATAAGTTCAGTGAATTAAGTGAATGAAATGACCGATGAATGAAGAGATATTTTTGGTATATATAAAATTAAACTTAGTTTGGCAAAGACTACATAACAAAATGAACACTAATAAAATAATAATAAAGACTAACATAAAATCATAATTTATCAATGTGGTGAC